TCCATACATCTTAAATCTTTCTTCTTTTTGTAAAATTACTTAATAAAATAAAATTAGTGTAAAAAAAGTAATAATAATAATGAGAAAACAAAAAATCATTATAAGGGTAATTTTCCCATTGTTTAACCTTTTGACACCGGGGAGTATTTATGGTATATATGCTCTCTACTCTTATTTCAGAAATCATTACTCCATTTTTATGAAACTTGATATACAAGAGCTTTTGATAGTGCTTTTTTCGATTCTGAAATTAAAAATTCAAAATTTAAGATGGCGAATCCGTATGACCGTCTAAATGGTTAAAAAATGCAAATATTGTTCAAAATGTATGAAATTCATATTACAAGGGTTTTGATGGTGCTCTTTCCGAATTTAGAAATTTGTTTGTCTTCACCATGGCAATACAACTTGATATCTGAACATATTGTAGATATTTTTTATTGCAGTTTATGCCAATAAGATGTAAATATATTATGAATATTTTTTATCCCAAGCTGTCAGTAACAAAAGTTTGTGTGGTATTGATGAACTGCAAAGAGAATATCTACTATAATATGAATTTCATAGATTTCAAGCAACATTTAAATTTTTTGACCTCAACATCGGCTATATTGGATCCGCCATCTTGGATTACAGACTTTTGAAATGCTAAGATCAGATTCGGATTCAGCGACTCAACATTATCCTTAAATATTATAATAATTTCTCATAATTCACTTTTTCAGGAACCCTCCCATCCTCAAAGCGTTAAAAAAAAGCAAGATATATGAAAAAATTAAAAAAATTGTTTATATATAATTATATATAAATTATCAGATACAATTATATTAACATAAGCAATTTTTTGTATGTTTCAAACTTGATTTTGTTAAAAAAAAACGCTAAAATTATCCTTATTATTATTTTTTATATTTTCTCATGATTATTATTTTTTTTATATTAAATGGTAACAAAAGAAAGAAGAATATACAAATATGGACATATTTTATATATACTTATATATTTATTTATCTTCGTAAATGAAAAAGTTTTCATATAAATCCAGAGTTTATGCTCACACGTGACATATACAAATATACATCCAGTTATGTTATATTCAGAGCATATAAATTTGCAAAATTCTTTGATTTGTATATTTAGCAAACTCTGAAAACGTATACAAAGAACGTAATACAATTTGACATCAAATTCATGTTAGACGAACAAAATTATAATAGTAAACTTAAACTTTAAGTGATCTCAATTCGAATTAATAAGACCTTTATTCTGTAATTTTAATGACAGGAATGATATCGTTACATTATCGTTGCACAGGTTATACATGTAAAAAAGCTGGGCGACAACAATACAATGAAAATCATCTATTAATGCCTATTACTGTCATTAATAGGAATTATAAAATAATTAAATAAAAATCTAAAAACCGATAAATAGTTAAAATATCATATGATCCGTTCACGATAGTGAAAATTACGCACGCGATGCGCTCGAGCTCTAGACAACTAATCCGCATCCGTGGAAAAAGGACAACAATGAATTCGATATTGATTTAACATGCGCACTTTATTATAGAATTGTGACATACTGTGACATGGATCCTAATAAAGCGATACTAATACTCGAAAATCGAAATCCAGATTACCGTCAGTGTTCTACATCAATATTAACAGTCAGTAATTGTTAATACTGAGAGACAGTATTATTGACAGTATTATTGAACGTATAGGATATCATCTTCAGTAAATAGCAACTATAACAATAACGTAACTGCTAGGGATGCGTTTCAAAGTTCGACTTTTGTTAACTCCGAGTATTTTTTATCCTTGTACAGCATTCAGTGAACAACAAAAATGAAATGACACTTGATAGAGATAAGTTTTGGAAGTTAATAAGTTTAGAAAACTTTCTTTTACATAGCTCCAAATAACTTCCGATCTTGACCTTGACTTTGATTCTCAAGGAAATCAAGATCACTGATCTTTTCCATCGCTCGTTATTCATTAAAAAGGTGTGCGTGCGTGCGTGCGCGCGCGCGCGCGCGCGCGTGTGTGTGTATGTGTGTGTATGTGTGAAACAATATTTATAAATAGCATATAATTTTTAAACATGAGGTTTATATTTCGGCAGTATTTTCCCTTGACAAGAGGAAATGGGATAGATCTCAAATCGTGTGCCTCAGAAACAGTGGGTGAAGTGGGATGAAAGTCGCTTGGGTGGAAGTCAACGTCTTTGAAACAAGGGCGATGCATGGCATGGAATGAAAGTCGCTTCACGCGGAAAGTCGTACGCGCACCTTAATAGGGGGGGGGGAGGTGGGA